AGACACCTACCGGTAGTACTCCTGTTCTGCGTAGTACTAACACAGCAGCCGGCCTGCGCCTTTGCCGTTATCCTCCACCAGTCCGAACCACGTGAGGGTTACCTTGGTAGTATGAATATCCTTCTGGTAGTCCCTTCAAACGCTACAGCTCCGTTTTTTCCCCCAAGTACAGGACCCTGCAGCGATAGGTGGTCTTCCCAAATATTGGGGCCAGTGAACAGGCTACCGGTACTTGACGATCTGGTTCAGCCTAACCGAGCTGCGGGAAGGACCGGGAGTCTGCCGGCCACACGTTGTGCAGCCTAACCCAGGGTTGATCGGCTTGCTCTGCTGGCAGCTGAGGCAAGCACCTGTGGAGATGAGAGGGCCATCGCCACACCACTCTCGAAATGTGCAAAATGAGGATGAACTTTCTGCTAGAACACGGCCAGATGCGCGCGCCACATTTTTGTCTTTTCCACATTTCGAGAGTGGTGTGGCGAGCCCCTCCGGGTGCATAGTGACACGCGGGCGTTGTACAGTTATCAGCACGCGGCGCAAGACGACGCTGCAGGTAGAGTGCTAGCCGCCCCATTGGAGCGGAACATGGCGCTATATTCCTCAAATGTGAGGGACAAGTGGATTTGATAGCCATGCGACGAGCGTCGAAGGATCCGGTATCCGGTATTTTCGCTCGTCGGCGCTGCTCCGGTGGCCGCCGACCGGATCCGGCGTTTCCGACCGTGCGTTCGTGCCAAATCCTTTCCCAGCGGGTCGGTATATTCGATTGCTTGCGCCCTCTTGCCCGCTGCCTCGGCTTGCTCTGCGCATACAGGGCTCCTACCCTCTTGGTACATTTCTCCCAACTGTGCGTTTGCATCGTCTAGCCCTCTCCCGCGCCAGCCTCGACGTCTGTGAAGCCTGTCAACAAGTCACTCTGCTCAAATCGAAAGGGGGCGTAGGCAGCAAACGAAACTCTCCGCGAAGGAGCGAATTTGGGCGGGCTGTTGGGCGGGCGGGCGAGAGAGAGAGACAGAGAGAGAGAGAGAGAGAGAGATGGAAGATCTATAGATGACTGTGAGTTTGGGCGGGATTTGATTCAGTCCGCCGATCGGTCCAATGGCGGTGCTCCTGAGCGGCAGAGGTAGGAGGTGCTTATTGAATTTGATTAGAACCGCTGATAATTTGATTAGAACCGCTGATAAACAATGTTTTTTGGCGGGAATTAGTTCCCCGAGCGGCGGGTCGGCAGCGAATCGGAACTGCGATATCAGGTGGTATACCCACGACGAGTCTCGCTTTCGGCCGTCGGATTCGCCCCGTTCGCGAACGTTGCACGAGGAGAGGAGGGCTTGCGATGTGCAGGGCCATGATTGGTTCACGTCCGAAGGACACGTGTCCATTGTCGATGCCGTCGCTGGAGCCAATCAGAGACTGCTGGTTCATTGGTGGCCAGCACACCCCGCATCAAGGGAGGAGGCATTTGCGCTACCGGTACTGCGGAATCAAGGATGGAGAAAGAAAGGTGGTGGGCTTGTAGCGAGGAACTTCTTTAGGGGTTTTTCTTCAGATGTAAAGAGTGGGGAGAAGGAGGAGGAAACGGAGACCATAGCTGTGACTTTCGTGAACAAGGATGGGAGTGAAGAGAAGTTGCGCGTCCCCTTGGGTAAGTCTATGCTGGAAGCAGCGCATGAGAATGACATAGAGTTAGAGGGTGCTTGCGAGGGCTCTCTGGCGTGTTCCACTTGCCATGTCATCGTTACTGATGAGGAATATTATCGCAAGATGCCGGAGCCAACGGATGAAGAGAATGATATGCTTGACCTTGCATTCGGGTTGTCGGACACATCGCGCCTTGGATGCCAGATCATCGCGAAGAAGGAGATCGACGGGATCCGGTTAGCTATCCCGGCCGCCACACGCAATTTCGCCGTTGATGGACATGTGCCCAAGCCGCATTAAGAAGGGCGAACAAGAGAGAGAGTGACTAATACACACACACACACACACACACACACACACACACACACACACACACACACACACAGAGAGAGAGAGAGAGAGAGAGAGAGAGAGAGAGGGGATCCGGTTAGCTATCCCGACCGCCACACGCAATTTCGCCGTTGATGAACATGTGCCACATTAAGAAGGGCGAAGGAGATAGGGTGACTAATCCACACACAGAGAGAGAGAGAGAGAGAGAGAGAGAGAGAGAGAGAGAGAGAGAGAGAGAGAGAGAGAGACGGGATCCGGTTAGCTATCCCGGTCGCCACACGCAATTTCGCCGTTGATGGACATGTGTCCAAGCCATATTAAGAAGGGGGAAGGAGAGAGAGTGACTAATCCACAGAGAGAGAGAGAGAGAGAGAGAGAGAGAGAGAGAGAGAGAGAGAGAGAGAGAGAGAGAGAGAGAGAGAGAGAGAGAGGATTGATCAACCTTGCGTTTTCTTGGTGGTTTTGCTTTTTTTCTTTTTTTCGTTTTAATTCATCTTGGTCGTGTTTGCTTAGGAAATAGGAAGGGGGAGGAGCGTAAGTGGGGGTGTGTTGATCGATGCTGGCGGCTGCCGGGAGTCGAGCCTTATGTTTGCTTGTTCTGTTTTGGGTTCTTTATTCCCCTTTAGTTAGGATTAGTATGTACTCATGGCTATGATGGCAAAATTCACTAATGAGTGATTGTTGCAAAGAGAAGAACGTCTCGCTGCGGTGATGCGAAGTAACTGAAAAATTGGACCCGCCGATTGTTTTTGCGTTACGTCCTTCTCTTATTGACTGTAATCTGGTTCTGAAGGCGGCAGCTTCTCTTCGTTCCCCTCCCCGCACGGTCGCCTGCTAATGGCTTTGTCGCACTTATTTAAGGGAAGTTGGGTGGGCGAGAGGTTGCACGACCAATTGAAAAAGGCAACGAACATCTCGTTGTCTGTTCAGCGAAAAATTCCGATCATCAACAAATGTGGATGTTTCAGTCACCAATCCCAATTGCTGTTTGAGGAAAGGGGTGTATTCAACTATATTGCGCATCATCGCGGTGTGTCTACCCGGTTTGTACGCCCCGTGTGTGTGTGTGTGTGTGGGTGGGTGCGTGCCTTGTGCGTGGGTGCTTGTGCGTGCCTGCGTGTGTGTGTGTGTGTGTGTGTGTGTGTGTGTGTGTGTGTGTGTGTGCTCTTGTGCGTGCGTGTGTGTGTGTGTGTGTGTGCTTGTGCGTGCGTGTGTGTGTGTGTGTGTGTGTGTGTGTGTGTGTGTGTGTTCACAGGACAGAACTCCAGCAAAAAGAGATTGACTATGCCAGACCGTTTCGTGGACGTATGTTTGTGTGTTGAGCCACAGACATAGGCAGATCGTTTAATGGATGGGAATATGGGGAGGGATGGGTGGATGAATGAATGAATGAATACGTTTGATAGAGGTCGATGTATCAGTGGAGGATTGCGTGGAGGAATGTATGGATGGATAGAATAGGTTTGTAGATAGGTGATTTGCTAGAATGATTGACGGTTGATAGGAAGGTTGGTAGTGCTGTTAGGTCGATATATCGGTGAGTGAATGGCGAGGATGGGTATATAGTCTAAGTGAGAGGACTGAATTCGTGCCAGAGATGCAATGGATGTCGGGTGGGTGGATTTTCGTCTGCCTGTGCCTAAGGGTAGGAAACCACCACCCGAGAGCTTCCGTGCCTTCAAGCGTGTGCTGCCGGTGCCGCCGCTGCCGCTGCCGCTGCTGCTGGCTCGTCTACTCTACACCGCTTGACAATGGGGTTGTTATTGGTGATGCTAATGCTCTCTGCTGCGATCAGTATCGTTCTAGCCTGTAGGCAGAGCTTGAATATTTCGACGTCTGCGTATCTGTCTTGTTGTCTTGTCAGTACACTTATGTGTTCATTCCAGCTGATTCCCTATACGATTTCACGGATTCACGGATCTGAAGCAGACAGTCTTTTTTTTTTTTTTTTTTTTCCCCCCCCTTAATTTGGACCATTTCTCGACTTATGGGTGTCATCCTGGCGCAGGGGCCATGCTAATCTTCTCTGTATCGTTCCAATTTTAACGGATGTCCCGAAGGACGCAGACAGTCTTTTGGGATTCCAGGGTCGGTGCGAGTAGAGCCGACCATGTCAAAAAAGATATCGCTCGCTAATTTTTTTGGTCAAGGTCGAGAGTTCGAATTTCTAATCTGAGAGTCAAATGCACTCGCGGCGCGGCAGACTGGCGGGGAAGTGTTCAACTTCCTCATGAGTAGGTGAAAGCCCGACTGAATGTTCTTTCACGGTGACCCCCTCTTTTTGCGGGGTAGTGTTTAGAGAATAGAAGACACGCATACAGAGACAGAGAGAGAGAGAGAGAAAAGCCGGGGTAGAGGAGGGGGGGGGGGCAGGGAAGGGGAGTTCAGCCTGTAGTCCACCCGAGAGCCTGAGAATTGGTGCGCCTTACCTGCTTTCCCGAATACAACGTACGGTCATTATAGCTGTATCTAGATACACAGCTATAATGACCGTACGTTGTATTCGGGGGAAGAAGGGCGTCTTTTAAAGACGATGGTATCTGCCTGAAAACTGATTCGTCCTAAGCCTGAAAGACGCCGGTATCGGCCTTGGGAGAAGTCGAGCAGGGAAGATGCCGGTATCGGCCTTGGGAAAAGTCGAGCAGGCCTGTACCGGCCTAACTGTCATTCAACCAGCGGTTACCAATTTATTTGCTTACCACTGACGTTGTGGCATCTCTTTCCGCTCGCCCAACCTGGTGTGTGTTTTCCAATCTGCCCACCTAAAGGATTTTGGCCGAAATGCGTCCTTTGTGTATCAGCAGATCAAAGCCCTATGATATCCGTGGAAACCTGGACGTTATTCCCCCCCCTCCCCTTTTTAACTAAGCTATATACTTGTCTCAATTCCACCTTTCACTACCTACCTACCACTACTTCTAATCCTATACAGGGGAACCCTGCAAGCATAGCTACCTCTGACAATTAAGGGGGTGCATGTTGCCTCCCGCCCTAATCAGCTGTGGTCAGGAGGGAGTAGGGTGGGGCTGCCGGTGGAGGTGGGGTCGGCTAGCGCAAAGCCGCGCATTTTGCCAGTAGCTGCGCCTCCCATCTACTTCCCCTTCCCCTCCCCTCCTCCTCCTCTCTAATCCAGTAACGTGAATTTGCTTTTTGCGTTGGCATTGAATTTACTGTTTCAATACCTTTCTCGACGGGCTCGGGCTTTCGGCTAAAAATAGATCAAGTGAAATGCATCTGTTCTGATCAGTTTTTTAATATCTGATCCGTGGTCCGTCTGTCCACATCCAAAAATAAATAAATAAATACTGTTTCTCATCAACTAAATTGAAGTCCAGACTCTACTTCCCCCGCACCCATCCAGTGACGTGAATTTGCTGTTTGCTGTGGCAGTGAATTTACTGTTTGTCATCAAATAAATTGAAGTCCAGACCTAAATTCAGATGCCACTAGCCACGTGGCTGCTGGATATAGCCCAAAGGGCGCTCCACTAATGGTTTTTCCCCACATGATTGCACTGGAATGGGACCTAAGGGGCTCCACTAATGGTTTCCTACATGATCTCATTCCTGGGTATTTTTTTGAACAGTGGGGTGTTGTTGGAGTCACGACCTCTCATTCCTGAGTATTTTGAACAGTGGGGTGTTGCCGGAGCCACTACCTACCGTCTTCCCCCGAACGCAAAGCACCCTCGTTTTGGCGGTATCTGGCCGGAAATACTTGTATACATTCATTTTAAGGGTGCGTTATGTTCGGGGGAAGACGATAGTAGTACGTTTGCCAGTTATTTTGTTCTGATGCGGCCATAGGATGGTGTTCTTTGGGGCTTGACCTACTGAATGGAAGAAGGTGGTGGCACCAGGCGAAAAAAAAAAAGAATCAAACCTTAGCGCGACGTGTTCTTTGGGGCTCTCGACCTACTGAATGGAAGAAGGGGGTGGCACCAGACAAAAAGACTCGATTGTGCACCCGTGACAAAGCTTGGGGCAACAGAAAGGGGGTGGGACCAGGAAAAAAGTTTTGATTTTGCACCCGGGTGTCAGAACTCGGAAAGTGGCGGAAATGGGCAGCGCAAAAATATTCCGCAGCGCGAAAAAGAGGCCTGGAATTACTGGTGGTTGGGGGGCATGGAAGGATTTTCCAGGTATTCTTCAAAACTGGAAGGTCGTCTATGAAAAGTAGGGCAGACCCCAGGGGTGAAAACAAAATTGGTACAGACCACAAAACAGGGCAAACTGGCCAGTTGTGACAATAAAGCGCCGCTTTCTTTGTTAGACTTTGGGGTTATTGAAATGAAAGACAAAAGATGGGAAAAGCCTCATTTGAAGGGAAGAAATTTCAAATTAGCATAGCGAGAATACTTGCAGTCAGAATGCTCACCTGGGTTCAAATTAGCATAGCGAGAATACTTGCAGTCAGAATGCTCACCTGGGTATCTGCTCAGAGTGGAAGTCTGCATGGGCTTCTCCAGAAGCACACTGTGCACTTGGACATCTGCACGTCCAGGTGCATTCCGGCCCGACTACTGGAGGATCAGAGGGAGCCATTTATGTGCCGTTTTCGGACTTGGGAATGAGCTTTACTTCTGGGTATATTCTCAAACCAGCTGGGCCTTCTTGGGTATTTTCGAGGACTACCGAGTTCTTACTGGACACAGGAAATCCAATGGGGTGTTTTTTTTTTGTTTTTTTTTTTGTGTTTCTCCTCTGCGTGCCCTTTCTCTCTCGCTTGTGCAAGTGTCAGCAGTTTTGCCAGGATGCCTTTGATGATGCAAACTTCTCTACTACACAATGGCTGTGTGCAAACTTATGAATGCATGTGGGTTTCTGTGGGGTTGGTGTGGTAGACTTTGAAGAGCTTTCCTCGCTCTGAGCGCGTAGCTCATGACCACTGCCCTCTGCCATGTGAAAGGTGATGATGAACACATAAATGACCAGGATGGGATGGAATAGGGTGGCGATGTTGGGGGTCCTTGCAGTCATAAGTGGCATGTCTGTGCTGTGGTGATGCAGGAGGCAATGTGCTTCTGACTGCATTTTTGTCCCTCTGGCTGTTCTTCAGGGGATGGGCAGCATGAATTTGCTGGCTATTTGCGAGCGAATAACACACGCGGCATCTCCATACAGTGATCGTGTGGGCGGTAGCATGCTACCTGCTATGTTAGGCCCTCTTGTTGTCGTTGAGGGGGAGGGGAACATGGATTCGCTACCGTTCTCATCCGAATAGAACACCCGGTCATTATAGCTGTATTTGGTTCAACTTTCAGTCCAGATACGGCAATAATTACGGGGCCGCCTGGTCATTATTTGGTGCAACTTTCAGTCCAGCTACCTTTCAGTCCAGCTACCTGTATTTGGTGCACCTTTCAGTCCAGCTACCTGTATTTGGTGCAACTTTCAGTCCAGCTACCTGTATTTGGTGCAACTTTCAGTCCAGATATGGCAATAATTACGGGGCCAACTGGTCGTTATTTGGTGCAACTTTCAGTCCATCTATGGTACGTAATTATCGGGCATTCTATTCGGGTAAAGACGGTACATCTCTGCAAGCCGACAGCACATTGCTGTGCCCATTTGGCCACTCTACCAATTTCATCCACTTGTAATTTGGTGTAATAATGTGTAATAAAAATACTAATGATTATTTTCTTGTTCTAATAAGTAGATGGCTACGCTCCAGCAAATTCGTTCATAAATTGCATACTCTCTTCTTACCCGGGAGTGCTTATTTTTCTTATTCGTTTTATTCATCTCCAGGGAGCCAAAGACTTGAAAAGTCAAAAGACCGAAATGCTTGAGTCATTTCAATAGGCTCAGAGCATGCACCAGTCCTATGACGAAGAGTGGATGGAGCCTGAAAATATGATCGTTCCTCTGAGCTGGGGTTGCCTCGAATTCGTTTGTCGAAGAAACTCGATGATAAGTTTTTTTTTTTTTTTTTTCTCCAGCGCGTGTTGGAACGATTTCTCGTG